CCATAAATCCTATCCTAAAATAAAATATATCTGTTCTATTTTATTTGGGGCCACCAAATAAAATAGTAATATATATATATATATATATATATATATATATATATATATATATATATATATATATATAATGCAATAATTAGGGGCTACCAAATAAAATATAATACAATAATGCTAGCGTTTCCTGTGATAGAATTAGTGACTGTAGAAACGGCTTAAACAGCATGGTAGCGCCGCGAAGGAAGTACGTGATTTTGAAACGTTGTCCTTTCTGAAAAATCATTGTGACCATCATCGGTGGTTACAATGAATCTTTCAACTTGACGTTATTTATCACCCTTGTTTACGCACTATGAATATTCATTATACCAATTAGGACCGCCAAGTGTGTCGTTCGTTATATTGCATCCAAAAATTCTTTGTACTAGATTATGAAATAGGCATTTTTGCTTTTGAAATACAATATTAACCAATATTACCAAATAACACCATAATCAGTATTTTTGTTTTTTATTTCTAAATTAACTCTTTTCGTTCTCTCTCTCTCTCTCTCTATGTATGTGAGAGAGAATAACACAAATAATGATTTTCTCCTATTTCATGGAAGCTTGCACCATACACAAATTGCGGATGGGTTAACATTCAGAATATTTAACACTCGAAATAATAATTATTTGCCATAAAAATACTTCCGTGTGGTATTCGAACACACGGCTCAGCAGCGCTGCAACCTTACGCTGAGCCACTGCGCTACCAAGTCGTTTATGAGAACAAGTTTTCATATTATTCCTCTAGAAATATTAAACTTCAAGTTTTCAAACAATTATCATATTACACGACTGAACGAAATACTATCGCAAAATGCGGTTTTGAAATTGCACTACGTCGATCAGATAGTAGGAGCTGCAGCCCGGTTTCAATTCATATGATAGTGTACTGTGTCCGAAAAGATTGAATTGGATTTTGTATAAAAAATAGACTTTAAGTCGAGCACCACGTAATACTGCAGATAACAGTGTATTTGTAAGCAGTTTTTGGTAAAATTTACATTGATATGTGATTAAAAAAAACTAGCCACAGAAAATAAAAAGCCTTTAAAGATCAACAGAGCAACTTGGCAGTTCAATCAACATAATAATGATTATCATATCAGTGTACTGACATCCACTGCTGAACGTTCCCACATAGATTGCCTCATGGTCCTTATGTATTTATTATAGGACAAGGCTAGTAAACGAGCGCACAGTCCTCCTGATGTTAAGTGGTTGCTGCGGCCCATAGACATCTACATCTATCCTCGATTACGAATCAAAATGCAGATGCGTTGTCATTCGTGAGGACTAAGATGAAATGCCTCGTTTCCTGTAAAAAGTGTCTCCGGTTCTTCCGTACGAAATACAGCAGCGTTAAGCTGCTAATTTACGCTGGTATTCTGTGAGAACGTAGTGCTTCCCCGGTCGAGCCAACCCATTCGTCCCTCAACTATACTACTAATATGATTCAACTATACTACTAAATTGACACTAACACGTAAAAATGCCTTAAAATGCCTTTATTTACGCCGTAGTTGCAAAACTTTGCAGGCAGTAAGGGAACCGCAGTTTTTCATTACTTAGAATGTTATTAGGAAGATGTCTCCCATCTCCTGTTTAATTTATTCTTTGTCGCTTCTTACGACAGGCACGCTATGGAGTAGCAAATATTGTTATGCCGCCCTAGATCTCCTCCGAAAGTTCAATATCAATGACATGAGATGTGAAACTATTTGTAGGCTCAAGGCTCTGTTTCCCGTTGCAATTTTGATACTTTGCATACATATACGTGCTCCACTGCATGTCATGCGCGTGTGTCATAAAAGGCGACAGAAAGAAACTGAAAAAGGAGATGAGCTGCAATCCTATTTCCTTGATATCAACTAAAAATTCTATAAAATGCGGTTTACAACCAGTCTCTATAGCGTGGTTTCATGTGGAATTTTCACCAGTATAATTTTTAAGGCTGTAAAGAAGAGAAATGATTGTACCAGCATCTGTCGGAACAGTGGTACGGTATTCTCGTGATCAGATTTTAATTAAAAGTTAAGAATTTTGTTTGGTTTATAATGTCGACAGAAAGAAAATAAAAGATGTGACCAAGTCTAAAAGTGATCCCGAAGCTTTCCAAATTTGTATTAAAATCTTTCGGGTCATATAATGTACCTGTAGCTAATGTAAAATACCTGTCTTATGGGAAATCATTGTGCGGTACAATCTTAATCTTCCAACAAATAGACTTCACCCTAAACTCGTCTATAGAATTTGATCATATTTATCTGTAAAAAGAAAAACATTTCGAGGAATAAGCTGGCAGAAAAGGATTAACTGAAAGTTTTGCGCACTTACTATGCCACCCAAGACCGGATTATAGACATCACCCAGGATCCGCGCCGTTTCAGAAACAAGCATTTTTGCGTGATATAGGAAGTTACACATGAGAAAGAATTCAAATTAACTACACTCAAAATATTCTAATGAAACAGTGAAAATGAAATTCCAAACAAATTATACAGCAATCGCAAATATTCGCTAAATAGGTAATCTAAAGGATTTACAAGGAGTTTTCGGAGGACAATCAAGGTATACGGTAAGTTTTTTCCAGTATGGATTAAAGGGAGAGTAGTGCGAAGCTTGCATTGTCTCGGGGCATCAACTAGGGGCACGAAGCGACAGCAGCCTAATGGCAGGGTGCGGACCGCGAACTCAAAAAGGTCGTGGGTTTGAATCCGCCATTCGACTACTGGCGTGAACCACTCGTAACACAAACAATTTAAGCTTACCACGAGCGGTTAAGGGGTATATTAGTATGTTGTATAGCATTGTTATTATTCTTTATTTTTAAATTAAAAAAATCTGCATGGCTTAATCTGGCCTAATGTCATCTCATATTCACCGTGCTGGGTTGATCAATTCATTCCGCCTGGAATGATTTAAATCGGAGCCGAAAGCATCCAACTGATAATACTATTCCAATCACCAAAATGTATTGCGTGCAGATAAGGTTGCTATTTGGATAAAATTTGGCTTTTTTCGACCTTAGTGAGCTACCCAAACAAACTTATATAAAGTGATTACATTCATACACATGATTATGGAAAATCCATCTTGCAACGGGAGAAGCACATTTTTTGCTAAATCTCTCTTATACTCCAGGAAATTTTACCATCATTTAATAAAGCTATATAGCTCTTCCCCCCACTTTTATAAGACACCTGTCTTTCCGTTTCTTACACAGCACCGCACTTGCACAACGGACCTCTAGTCCGATACGTGGAGGCCATGGGAACAGAATAAAATGTGCCCCGGAAGAACCGTCTCGGCCCCAGCGGTGAATCTGCTGCATATGCTAACGTTTGATCGCGAAAGGTGGGAAAAGGGATGCATCGTTATACTGACACTGCCCTCTCTAGTTGCATCAGCGGTGCGGCCTGGCCAGAATGTGCGTAGGTACGCTTCTACTCTACCTACACACATGGAGACACTCAGCAAGTCTATGCAGAGCAGCCACCTCGTGCCAGTGCTTCTCCATGGATCAAACGTCTGTGATCCCCTTAGTTCACCGTGGGTGACCAAACCACTATTATTAAGCCCCTTCCCCCTTTATTTCTAGCATAAGCATTTTTAGCTTGGCGTAGACAGAGTTGAATGAAAAATACTCATTATATTCAAATATTTTTAATTATTCATTATGACTAGATAATAATATAATAGTTAATATTATTTAACAAGTATATATCTTTTAAGTATTATTTATCTTAAATCACATTTACGTCCATTGAAGGAATATATTGTTACGAGCTTAGGGTTCGTGACAATAAAAATTGCCGATAAAATTACCTAAATTAACACTTTAATTTACTTTACACAAATTAAAACTTAAAACACTAATAATTAAACACACTAATACACTTAATTCCGCTCCGAAGCTTCACTTGTGTCGCCGAGTTCAACTCTGCCCCGATCGCATCTTGCAGCGCCTATGTATTTAAATTAGCAAACAAATATCCAGAATGTTCAAGTAAACACGCGCAAGGTCCCGAGCGTTCGAGTTTCGACTAGGCGCTGTCGGTTGAGTGATTTGTGATGTCATTTTCTCAATGCTCCCCTCGCTCTCGTTCCTGACACTAGATGGCGCTAGTGTATCGTCGACTTGAGCGCGTAACAATATGAAATATATTATTTTTATATTTGAGCTCAACATAAATCAATTTATAATTGGTTGGCAACACTTAATCAATATTGACGTGCAATTTTAAGATTGACAATTTAAACTAATTACATAGCTCTTTATTTCATAATTTCATCTAGATTGCAATACATAACACATCGTTATTGATACAATAATCGATATTGGAGTAGCCAAAACGGCATATCCTGCTAATAAAAATAATTTTAATGAACGGTGCACTTTAATTGTGAATACTTTTCTTGGCGAAGAATTATTTTCAATCTATAATTTTTTTCGCTATTTTTCAATTGCATAAATAAATTTAATTTTAACTAATTTCGTTATTCAGTAAATTTTGATAATCTTGGTGAGCCAGTTTTCAATAAATGTAAAAACGAAAATTTTAAGAAACCGAAAATATCCCGTCTTGATAAAGCAGAAATTACAAAACACGAAAAATTTACGTTATAATGTGATAGAACTCCTGGCTGAACAAAAGCTCTAACAAAGATTTTATATTTACGAGAATACTACACATGAAACAAAACTAATTTTAACTTTTTTAATTCCCGACGTGTCGTTATTTAAAGTTAAATTTAGGTTTCGTTAACTATGCCGTCAGAACGTTAACACTTCATCCCCCCATTCACCCGTAACCATAGTTACTGTATAGTTCCCAAAACTTCGGGATTAAAGAAACTTAAAATTAAATGTGATAAAACCTGTAAAATTAGTTTTATTCCAAAAATCTAATAAAATTGTTGAATAAATAAATTAGTTGTACTATAAGTAGTCGTTATTTAATGTAAAACAGGTAATTGATAAACACCTTTGTCAGAAGACGTATATATATTTGAGTTAGATGTATCTGGTGGCGTCAATGGTGGATCTAAAAATAAAAGTTAATTATAAACAGTTCTAAGCCATGATAGCTCATGTAAAATCTTGTAATGGAGCATTGGAATAGCGCAGCATGTTACATGTTACCTGCGACTACAAATTCATTTTTTAACTTTTGCTGTAATGGATTTCTTCTTGGTAAGTATGCATAAACATACTTGCCAAGAAGAAACTCCACAAAAAAATAAAGAGAACGATGGACGCTATCTGTAGCGTGTTACGTGCTACTTAATATTTTAATATTGTTTTAAAATAACACAAACTCAACACTAAACATAAAATTGTGTTAATTCTAAACACAATACAAAACACAAAAACGTTGTTTATGAATATAATACCCCATAACCCCCACAAATGACACGAGGCTTGTGTTGTTCAGCAGTGAGCAGTGAAACATATTATAGGCTGCAACTTTACTCAGAAGTGACTGCTAAGAGCACCTGCTTGAAGTGAACCGCAGTAGCCACTTACCATCGCTTGCACTGTTAGCTAAGAGCACCTGCTTGAAGTGGACTGCAGTAGCCACTTACCATCGCTTGCACTGTTAGCTAAGAGCACCAGCTTGAAGTGGCCCGCAGTAGCCACTTACCATCGCTTGCACTGTTAGCTAAGAGCACCTGCTTGAAGTGGACTGCAGTAGCCACTTACCATCGCTTGCACTGTTAGCTAAGAGCACCTGCTTGAAGTGGACTGCAGTAGCCAATTACCATCACTTGCACTGTTAGCTAAGAGCACCAGCTTGAAGTGGACTGCAGTAGCCACTTACCATCGCTTGCGCTGTTAGCTAAGAGCACCTGCTTGAAGTGGACTGCAGTAGCCACTTACCATCGCTTGCACTGTTAGCTAAGAGCACCTGCTTGAAGTGGACTGCAGTAGCCACTTACCATCGCTTGCACTGTTAGCTAAGAGCACCTGCTTGATGTGGACTGCAGTAGCCACTCACCATCGCTTGCACTGTTAGCTAAGAGCACCTGCTTGAAGTGGACTGCAGTAGCCACTTACCATCGCTTGCACTGTTAGCTAAGAGCACCAGCTTGAAGTGGACTGCAGTAGCCACTTACCATCGCTTGCACTGTTAGCTAAGAGCACCTGCTTGAAGTGGACTGCAGTAGCCACTTACCATCGCTTGCACTGTTAGCTAAGAGCACCAGCTTGAAGTGGACTGCAGTAGCCACTTACCATCGCTTGCACTGTTAGCTAAGAGCACCTGCTTGAAGTGGACTGCAGTAGCCACTTACCATCGCTTGCACTGTTAGCTAAGAGCACCTGCTTGAAGTGGACTGCAGTAGCCACTTACCATCGCTTGCACTGTTAGCTAAGAGCACCTGCTGGAAGTGGACTGCAGTAGCCACCTACCATCGCTTGCACTGTTAGCTAAGAGCACCTGCTGGAAGTGGACTGCAGTAGCCACTTACCATCGCTTGCACTGTTAGCTAAGAGCACCTGATTGAAGTGGACTGCAGTAGCCACTTACCATCGCTTGCACTGTTAGCTAAGAGCACCTGCTTGAAGTGGACTGCAGTAGCCACTTACCATCGCTTGCACTGTTAGCTAAGAGCACCTGCTTGAAGTGGACTGCAGTAGCCACTTACCATCGCTTGCACTGTTAGCTAAGAGCACCTGCTTGAAGTGGACTGCAGTAGCCACTTACCATCGCTTGCACTGTTAGCTAAGAGCACCTGCTTGAAGTGGACTGCAGTAGCCACTTACCATCGCTTGCACTGTTAGCTAAGAGCACCTGCTTGAACTGGACTGCAGTAGCCACTTACCATCGCTTGCACTGTTAGCTAAGAGCATCTGCTGGAAGTGGACTGCAGTAGCCACTTACCATCGCTTGCACTGTTAGCTAAGAGCACCTGCTTGAAGTGGACTGCAGTAGCCACTTACCATCGCTTGCACTGTTAGCTAAGAGCACCTGCTTGAAGTGGACTGCAGTAGCCACATACCATCGCTTGCACTGTTAGCTAAGAGCACCTGCTTGAAGTGGACTGCAGTAGCCACTTACCATCGCTTGCACTGTTAGCTAAGAGCACCTGCTTGAAGTGGACTGCAGTAGCCACTTACCATCGCTTGCACTGTTAGCTAAGAGCACCTGCTTGAAGTGGACTGCAGTAGCCACTTACCATCGCTTGCACTGTTAGCTAAGAGCACCTGCTTGAAGTGGACTGCAGTAGCCACTTACCATCGCTTGCACTGTTAGCTAGGAGCACCTGCTGGAAGTGGACTGCAGTAGCCACTTACCATCGCTTGCACTGTTAGCTAAGAGCACCTGCTGGAAGTGGACTGCAGTAGCCACTTACCATCGCTTGCACTGTTAGCTAAGAGCACCTGCTTGAAGTGGACTGCAGTAGCCACTTACCATCGCTTGCACTGTTAGCTAAGAGCATCTGCTGGAAGTGGACTGCAGTAGCCACTTACCATCGCTTGCACTGTTAGCTAAGAGCATCTGCTGGAAGTGGACTGCAGTGCCCACTTACCCCGCTTGCACTGTTAGCTAAGAGCATCTGCTGGAAGTGGACTGCAGTAGCCACTTACCATCGCTTGCACTGTTAGCTAAGAGCATCTGCTGGAAGTGGACTGCAGTAGCCACTTACCATCGCTTGCACTGTTAGCTAAGAGCAGCTGCTGGAAGTGGACTGCGGTAGCCACTTACCATCGCTTGCACTGTTAGCTAAGAGCACCTGCTTGAAGTGGACTGCAGTAGCCACTTACCATCGCTTGCACTGTTAGCTAAGAGCACCTGCTGGAAGTGGACTGCAGTAGCCACTTACCATCGCTTGCACTGTTAGCTAAGAGCATCTGCTTGAAGTGGACTGCAGTAGCCACTTACCATCGCTTGCACTGTTAGCTAAGAGCATCTGCTTGAAGTGGACTGCAGTAGCCACTTACCATCGCTTGCACTGTTAGCTAAGAGCACCAGCTTGAAGTGGACTGCAGTAGCCACTTACCATCGCTTGCACTGTTAGCTAAGAGCACCTGCTTGAAGTGGACTGCAGTAGCCACTTACCATCGCTTGCACTGTTAGCTAAGAGCACCAGCTTGAAGTGGACTGCAGTAGCCACTTACCATCGCTTGCACTGTTAGCTAAGAGCACCTGCTTGAAGTGGACTGCAGTAGCCACTTACCATCGCTTGCACTGTTAGCTAAGAGCACCTGCTTGAAGTGGACTGCAGTAGCCACTTACCATCGCTTGCACTGTTAGCTAAGAGCACCTGCTTGAAGTGGACTGCAGTAGCCACTTACCATCGCTTGCACTGTTAGCTAAGAGCACCTGCTTGAAGTGGACTGCAGTAGCCACTTACCATCGCTTGCACTGTTAGCTAAGAGCATCTGCTTGAAGTGGACTGCAGTAGCCACTTACCATCGCTTGCACTGTTAGCTAAGAGCATCTGCTTGAAGTGGACTGCAGTAGCCACTTACCATCGCTTGCACTGTTAGCTAAGAGCATCTGCTGGAAGTGGACTGCAGTAGCCACTTACCATCGCTTGCACTGTTAGCTAAGAGCACCTGCTTGAAGTGGACTGCAGTAGCCACTTACCATCGCTTGCACTGTTAGCTAAGAGCACCTGCTTGAATTGGACCGCAGTAGCCACTTACCATCGCTTGCACTGTTAGCTAATTGGTTAAAAATAATACAAAAATAAGCTTTACAAATCCAGATCCGAAAACTCAGTAGTGCTTTTACATAAAATATCAGTTTGGGCGTAGTCAACGGTAATTTAAAGTATCTGACAAAGGTACTTCATTATTAAGATTCTATTATCTTAACATAACTTACCTTTGTAGAATATGTCACTTTTCCTGCTAAAATAATTTGCTAAGGGCACTTGCATATCACACAGGATTTCTACTGTGGGCGGTAGAGAGTCGATTCTTATGACGGTGCTCGTAAGTGCCATGTACCGGCCCTCAAAGTTCTTGATTGAAGATTTTGCGTTTAAATGTCTGTAAAATAACGTTAGTTTAGTTTAATTTGGCGAATTACGAAACCTTATTATAACTATGTACATATGTGATATGGAAAAACAAAAAAATTACGATCTGTTTTGGAGGTAATATAGTGCTTTTCAGATTTTTCCAAAGCGATTTTGGATTATTAATTTTGTTATTAATGCTGTGGCGAATGTATGAATGCTTTTTCAGTTTGTAAAGATTTTATCACTAAGGATATAAGGAATGAACGTATTCCATCTTAGTCCTCAGGAGTAACCACGCATCTACATTTTGATTCTTAATCGAGGATACATTTACATGCCTATGCCACAGCATCCACTTACCATCGGGTAGACTATGGGCACATTTTGCACCCTTATTATATATTTTTTAAAAACTTTCGAAATTTTTCCTTTTTTCTGCGTACGTTCCGTGACACTAGCTTAGTGTCGATGAAACAAACACAGTTGTTATTCCTTGTAAAAGCCATACTAAATCTACGGATAATTTGTCGGAAATATACCAGCTGAATTTAAGTAGATTTCATAATGAACTTTTGACGATATATTTTTAATTATAAGAAGATAATGCTAAATTCTTCATTATTCAACTACGTTTTAGTTGTAAGATCTCAGACGTTGTTTCCATAATCTTTTTTTTTAATTTATTTTATGTACACACATTATTCACAACTTTCGTTGATATAAATAAGTATTACGAAACGCATTATAAAAATCCTTAATTTTGATACGTCATAGACTAAATGAATTTATCGACAACGTTTTTCATTACTCTAATGGCATATTAATATCAGTCTATGTTATGGAAAAACGGCAACAATGTTGTAAAAGAAAGAGGTGAGAATAACAAAGCTATCTTATTTTGTACTATGTTAAACGTCATTAATGTGTAAAGACTTCAGCTGTAACAATTTTGTTACTAATTTGAGACTCTCTCTACGCTAGTAATTACTCTGAGATGTTAACGTCTTCTGTTCTCTATGACTTCTCGTAAGCCTTCTAAACGTCGCCTTTTATTCGCTCTCGTTATCCTTTCACTTTTAAGCAGATATAAAAAATATGCACAGAATAAAAATACAGATTAAAAATAGTTAAACACACATACACTAACGTTCGACTCCAATACAAACAAAACATATTGCGCGGCAAAGTGGCATTTATCTAATTTTTTTTCAACCATCAAATTTCTCAGAATTTTACGAGATAACGGATTAATTATTTAGAATGATACTTAGGATCATAAAATTCTATAGGCATTAGATTAAGGTAATTCCTAAGCCTCTTAACGTTCCATTTCATCAAAGAGATCCCTGTATCGTATGTTTGTCGTCGAGTTGGTACTTATCTACATATATACTTAACATATTGATTGCCAATAATACTCTTGTGCACTCAAGCAATGTAGCGTATTAATGGTAAAGATTCTGTTTCATACAAGCGATCGAATGAGCTTATTAGCTATGTGTCAGTGTAAGAACATCCACTGCCCCAGGTCAGTAAGTAGCGACGGTAAGATGCGACACAGGGAAACAAATCAGGAGATGGGCAGCAGCGTATTCCTAATATCGACTCTAAATAAAAAACTCCGGTTGCCAACCTGCTTGCCAAGGGTGGTAACTATGAGGCAATCTGGGAGGCCTGTGTTCGGCAGTGGACTTCAGTGGGCTGTAACGGTAACGGAAACGGTAACGGTTGCTTGTAAAAGTATTTAATAATATTTTAAAATGTACAAACATCTATAAATCACCCTACATTTAATTTTAATAAAATTAGCAAGAATTTACTACTTAAGACGTCAGTCATACTTATACATATATCATTCATCATTATACATATATCATTCGAATATAAATTAATTCCGATCATAAGCCACCAATTTTCTTAAATTTGTTCTTTATTTTTAAAAACGATACCTTAACATTAGGATTTTCTCCTGTACCGTGGGGGTAGTTTTACAAACATATTTCATAAGGACAAACATCCAGACCTGGAACAATTACTTGTAGTCTATACAAATATTTGTTCTGTGCGGGATTCGAACCCGCTGCCCTTAGCACTGTAACTCACTGTTAAGCTTCTGCGTCACGGATTGTCCTAATAATATTTGTGTTTTTGTCGACACTTCATTTAAATTAATATAAGTAAGTTTTGTTTTATGTTTTTGTTGCTTTCTCCATTAGTATACTACTATATAGCAGTTTGTTATAGTATAGGGTGACAAACGAGCTCATAGTTCACCTGAAGGTAAGTGGTTGTCGTGTTCCATAGACACCTACACCCGAACAATGTATCCTCGATTACGAATCAAAATGCACCCATGAGGATTAAGATGGAATGCCTGATTTCCAGTAAAAAGGGTCTACGGTTCTCTATATTTACCTTTTTTTTAGGATAGGATAACACACGAGCACACAGTCAACCTGATGATAAGTGGTTACTATGGCCCATAGACATCTACATCTATCCTCTACTACGAATCAAAGTGCAGATGCGTTGTCATCCGTGAGGATTTAAGTGGAATTTTTAAATCAATAAAACTCATAATTTCACTTACTTAAATATTTTTGGTGGGAAATTGCGTGTCAATAATTTATTATCACAAGTTGAAATCCGTCATCTGCAGCAAAAAAAAAACATTTATATGTTTTTGGTTTTAAAGGTTCACTTTCTTCGCAAGATTGCACTGCCCGTCTTTAAAATGCATTTGGGAGCGAAGCACCTCAATTAAGCACCGTAATGGATACGCAGAATTTGATCGTAGCCCTGTTACTCTCATGGAAATTCGTGAAAACCCAACTGCCATCACTGAGGAAAATGTGGGTACTGGCGGCAATTTGATATTTGGTATTGGTGTGCGCCAAATTAAAAAAATATATTTCAACATTTAAAAGTTAGAAAACTATGTTGCTACTTAATTCTTTATCTTCTCACGCAAGAAAAAAAGTTGCATTGCAATAATTATTAGTAAAGTTGAGATAATCCAAACGCCGCGGTGAAGAGTAATGAAAAAATAGAATTTCAAAAAAAAAAGAATTAAATATTAAATAGAGTTTAAAAAAAATCATAAAACAAAAAAAATTAAGATTGGAAATACAGTCAAGTGCTATTTATTTTGAAACAATTTACCATGTTTAAAAAACAGTTATGCTGCCATTTTAAATTACGTAAAAATAAAGTTCCTTATTTGTTAAATAACAGAATTTAGATAAATAATTATAATTATGTTTTAAACAATGTTAGAGAGAAAATAAAGATTTAATGCTTGAAGATGTCAAGCGACTTAGATGTTACGTCATATGCACATTGACGTAACAGTTTAGGCACATTAATTGGTACACGTTCGTGATCTTTTGCCAAAATCATAAAAACCTAAATAGGTTAATTTAAAGGACCGCTTAACTTAGTTTACTGAGAATAAATTCGATTTTTACTCTTATTTACAAAAAGTTTTATACCTATAAGATAAATATTATATGTTGGTAGAGCTATGCTGCAACCACATCATGGTTGTAGCATAAATGGGCCACACAGGATGGCAGCGTGAAATAACGGCTTAGTGTTACTACTGTGTTTTGTATGGTAATGTGCAGAGAACCGGAGACTTTTTTTGGAAACGGAGCATCCTATCTTAGTCCTCGAGGGTGACAACATATCTGCATTTTGATTTAAAAGCGAGGATAAATGTTGATGCTGATGGGCTATAGGTAGCATCCATTTATCATAACGTGGACTGTGTGCTCGTTTGTTATTTTTATTCTATAAAAATAATTAGTAAAATTTAATTCATATAATGATACACATCTACAAATCATTCACATACATCCAGTCACCTTGCACATTTCGATAACATAGTAATTTAATTTAAAAAAAATCTTCAATTTCGTGAAATTGTGTATAGCATAATTAAAATAAATATAATAATAGTTATATATACTTAAAACTTAATACAATTAAATATTTATTCATAAGTATTTAATTATATTATGTATAATTTCCCAATTATTAACAATAAAAAACTTTGAAGGTTTGGAACCTTTATGTTCTTAACTATGTCATCATCATCATTATAGCCAATCTCAATCTACTCTTTCAAAGCTTGGTTAAGATCTTTAAAAAATGCGGATAATTAATGCATTTATAGATATAGATTTAATTTACTAATACCCAACCTTACGGCACATTTTAGTGTTTTAATTTGAAGTCGATAAGCTTAGAAGGAAAATTAAAATCATTACCTGTTACCAACTAAAATAACGAGTTCAGGCTTCGGAAAGATTCCTTCAACAGAGCAAATAATGTTCAAATATCCATCATTTGGTCGATCTTGAATTATATCGAATCTTGTTTAAGGCACTGAAAAAATTAGTTATTTAGTTTATTTTAATAAACAAATAATAATATATACTTTTTTTTGGGTAAATTCGCAATAACACTTGAAAGAGCATTTTTATAGACATCTCTCACATACGTTATCGTGAAATAATTTTCGTGGCCATAAGATCCCAGTCTAACAGAATCAGACAGACCAAGGTTATAGGGCCCAAGTGTGTGCACAGTACAGGTGCAATCACTATTCCCTCTCTCATATTCCGGTGGGACAGCAATCCGACAAGATTGGAGACAAATCAGGCGCAGGATCAACTACCTTACGTTTTTTCGAGGCGCGAGAATGAAAAATAGACAACTGACTGACTCCAGATTACTAACGAGAATTTATTGACAACAACACTTAATAACTGATTTGGAGCGGACCCGGGATTTGAACCCAGGACCACAAAATCAGCAGTCTCGCTTACCACCAATAGACCAACGAGGTAGCCAAAATGAAATAAATATATCATCATATGAAGATGTTTAAATGAAATATAAAAAATTGTAATAATAAAAAATTGGATATTCATTAATATGAAAGTTTAAATTTAAGTAACTTAATGGCTGCAGTGATTGCGGCTAAAATAGATGCTTATGATAAGTAACGACAACCGAAAACTGTTTTCATTGGTAACTTAGTACTCAGGGTTGACATAGTAATATTTTAAATATCATTTGAGGATAGACGTAGGCCCTAGCATTCACTTATTGGTGTAATATTTCAAAATAAAATAAAACCTTGTATTCGATTAAACGCTATTATCGAATAAAATATATTTAGGTCAAAAGATGAATAAAATTAATTAAAAGTCAACGAATACGAAAAATATTTGTATGAATTAATAAATCAACGTGACTAAAGGAGACTTGTAAGCCAGTCGACTGTGTATTATATTATTTCGATTATGACACTGGGGTATCTATAGTTTTCTCATCTGGCTCGGGTTCTATAAAGTATATAATTATAAATGAAAATGAAAAGATAAATATACATAAATGTCAATAACATAAAATGAATATAAAAGTAGATAAATAAGTAAAAGCCCAACCAGATGGAGGCCCTCGGCAGGGGAGACCAAACGGCCGAGGGTTAGGGGGAAAGGGAAAGAAACCGGCGGACGATGCGGGCGGTATCGAGGAGCACCGCCTTCTGCATTTGAACCTGGAGCGGTCCGCCACGTAGTCCTAGCCGCCTCAGATGACCCGAGAGGCTGACTGGGATTAGCCCGTTTGCAGAGACGACTACAGGAATAATTTCGGTCGGGAGACCACCCCACATGTCGGTCACCTCGTGAGCCAGGTCCAGATATTTTGTTTGCTTGTCTGTTTCGGCTTTCACGAGGTTCTCGTCATACGGAATGTTAATGTCGACCAAAAATATCCTTGACTGTGCCCGGTCCATCAGCACAATATCAGGCTTATTCGCAAGAATAGTCCTGTCTGTGATGATGGCCCGGTCCCAATAGAGCCTGGCGCGATCATTTTCGAGCACGGCTTCCGGCAAGTACTTGTAATACGGCAATTTCCGATCCACGAGACCGTATTTCAGAGCGAGCTCCTGGTGTAGAATTCTGGCTACTAGGTTGTGCCTGTGCAAGTACTCAGAGTTAGAAAGCGCCGAACAACCGGAGATAACATGCCTAAGTGACTCACCGGGATGGCGACAAGCTCGACAGATGTCGACAGTGCCATCCTTTAGGATGTATCTCCGATAGTTGCTGGTCTTAATAACCTGATCCTGTATTGCACAGACAAAATCCTCGGTTTCCCCGAAGAGATCACCAAAGCGTAGCCAGTGGAGGGAGGCTACTGTGTCTACGAAAGGCTCATGTAGAGCCTTGTAGAACCTCCCGTGGAGCTCCTTCTCCTTCCATACGGTCTCCCGGTCGGAAATGCTCTGCACTGCCGGGTCTTGCCATTGCTCGTTGGCTAAGGATAGAGGGGGTAAGTCCTTTATCACAAGAAATCCTTTATCACGTCCTTATAGAATGGATCATCCGATCTCGCAAGGAAGTAATCACGGAGGCTGCACACTTCGCGATTATGCATGGTGAGCGCGCTCAAGAAGCCACGACCACCATGCTTCCGCGGCAAGTACAGCCTCATTACCGACGATCTCGGATGATGCATCCTATGGGACGTCATGGTAGTGCGGACTTTTCTATCCAGGGCGTTAAGTTCAGTCTGAGTCCACCTGAGTATGCCAAAGGTATACATGAGGACAGGCATGATCCAACCGTTATATGCGTGTGCCTTGTTCACACCGGACAAAAGGCTGTTAAGCACTTTGGTCAAGCGTGTATAAAACACGTCGCAAACTGACTGTTTCATACCAGCCTCATCGATACCAATGTTCTGTGACATACCCAGGTATCGGTATGTTTCAGCCTCGGAAAGGGTTCTTAAGTTGACGGGCATAGATAAGTCTATGCCCTCAGAGTTAGCAACCCTTCCCCTTTCAACATGGAGGACCGCACACTTATCCGTCCCCAGCTCCATTCTAATAGAATTGCTAAATTCACACGTGATGTTTAGCAATTCCATAAGATGGGAGCGACTGGAGGCGAATAATTTGAGGTCATCCACATAGAAAAGGTGGGTCACTTTTGTACCTCCTTTCCGAAGCTGAAATCCCCTCCCGGAGCCCTCCAGTAAAGTACTGAGAGGGTTCAAAGAGAGGCAGAACCAGATTGGACTCAGACAGTCGCCCTGGAATACACCCCTTCTTATCCTTATGCGGCTTTCCGCAGCCGTCATCCGCTCGCCTAGATGACAGAGGATCGTACTCCACTGCCCCATACACTGCTCGAGGAAGTCTCGAACTGTACAGTCAATCTTGTACAGCTCGAGGACCCTCTTTAGCCATGTATGGGGCACCGAGTCAAATGCCTTTCTGTAATCTATCCAGGCGGCGGAGAAGTTCCGACGGTTGCGTTTCACCACTTTGCCAATGTCCGCGTCAATGAGGAGTGGTTCCTTGGTTCCACGACCGCCGCCCCGACATCCATTTTGAGCGCGCGACATCACCTGATTTAAGTCCAGGTGACGAGCGATTCTTGCGCTCAAAATGGATGTTAGTGTCTTGTATATGGTCGGTAGACACGTGATGGGGCGGTATTTGCTCGGGTCTGTGGCAACCTGATCTTTAGGAGCCAAATGAGTGATCCCAGTAGTGAAGAGGCTTGGGAGCGACTTCTGGTTGAGAGCCTCTTGAAACTGTCGGGCGAGCACAGAGTGACACACCATGAACCCCTTCAGCCAGTAGTGATGCAGCCCGTCAAGCCCCGGACTTTTCCAGTTCGGGGCCCTACGGACCGCCTCAGCTACGTCATCCGGCGTTATGATGACGGGGTCCATGGGCGTAATACTCGCACACTGACTCGCCACAACTTCCGTCCAAGGGCCCTCGTTGTGGTTTACGGGCTCTGACCACAGGCTGCGCCAGAATGCGACCATGTCGGCCTGATTTGGTGCAGGGCCCGTTCAACTTACTATTGGTCGCTCCAATGATTTATAGAGCCTCTTCTGATCACTCTGGAAGAGACGATTCTGGTTGAACCGTGTCGACCTCTCGGTATATCGCCGAATCCGCTTTCCCCAAGCAGCTATTCTTTGCTTCAGGTCGTCTATGCGCTCCGTCAGTTTTTGCATTATATCCGGCTGGGACAAACTAACATTTGTCCCAGCAAACGCCATCCTGACGGTGCGCACAATCCTTGGCCTGGTATTGCCTGACCTGAAGCATATCAGTCTGCCGATGAGGGCCCTAGCCTTTGCGATACGTTCTTCAATTCTTATTCTCCAGGCTGGGATAGCACTACTTTGTCCAATAGCGCGTCCAGCCGTGGAAAGTTTGGCACCTATAATACGGTAGACTGCCAGTGCGGCGCCAAAAAGAATTGAGTCCGTATCGCAAAGGTCCCGGCTGGCTTCCAAATAGGTAACCAGCATTGGGTTCAGAGCCCTCACGACAGCCCGATTCCGCTTGCTTAGGGCTAAGCGGGGAAGTCGCGGTCGATTTTCGAGAGTCGTACTGCGCGTTTCCACAATCGCCTCTTCCAATGTACTCCTCATTTGCTCTAGTTCCAGTTCCTGGGCGACTGTTCCATCATCGTTTGAATCAACCACAACTGGCGTATTCACGGCGGCATCCACATTTGCCGTTTGCTCAGCAAGTTGTGGCGCCGCATCCTCAGCCGCAGCATTTTCACCCGATGAAGGAACAGCCTCACGTCGTAGCCGTTCGAGTTCGGTGACATCAAATGTATTTGAGCGCAAGATATACCGAACTCGGTCTGCCAGGTTTTGCTCGGTGACGGTTACAGATGGCTCCAGCTCAGCAAAAAGTCGATGCATCCTTGCCCGATACGCAAAACCTCCAGTTTCTCCCCCTTTCGCCCTAAAATACGCCCGCAATGCGTTGCTGTTCATCTGGGTTGTCCAACGCATGCGGCGTACTCCACCAGTGGCGGGTGCCGATTGCTGAGCCCGCGAAGACCCTGCCGACACCAAGCCAGCTGGTGGGGATGATGGATGCGAGGAGCTGCTGGGTGGTCGTGCAGCACCTCGCGCTCGGCTGGCAGTTCGCATGCTGTCGCTTCCAGCGCCAGCTCCAGACGCGCCCTGGCGACCTCCAGGCAGCGGCCCTTTGCGCGTTCCATTTGATTCCATCATCCATTTTAGAGCGTCATTTAGGCGGGAGACGCCCAGACCCGGCGCCGTTTCATGGTTAGGCCATGTGCACAAGCGGGCCTTGGCACCTTCAATTTTTGCCGAGGCACGGCACTAACACCTCTTGGCAAGGTGCTGACTGACTGCGCCGACGTAGCGGTTTTGTCACATAACCGTTATATCAGCGGGCGATGGGGTCGTCACTTCCCTACGCCTTATTATTATTATTATTATTTATTTGTCAGAATAAGGTAATACATAATGGTCTTAAATCTAATACAGAAGTTCACTTATTCTGCCTCTTTTATAGGCGTACAAATATTAAATCGTCTTAATTTAATTTCGACATAAAATTTTAATACAAAACTATAAAAAATTAATTACGGATAAATGTTATACAAATTGTCATAAATATGTCAAAGTGAAAATCAGTAATAATACATGTCATCGTCAAATTGCTATATATGTCACCTATATTTACTATTATAATTATATTAATTAAATAATAATTTTAAAAACAAAATTAGTTGTTGAAATATTCAGAAAGACTATAAAAACACTTGCTGAGAAGCCATTCTATCAACTTTCGTTTAAACGTTTGACTTGTTTCATTCTTTATTGTGTCTGGCAGATGATTGTATACACGGATTGCCATGTAGGAAGCATTCCTGTTAAAGAATGAGGTGCCTGATTTAGGCAAGAATAATTTATTTTTTGTTCCTAGTATGCCTCTGTGTTACATCAGACTGTTTTGTAAATAAATTTAAATTTTGTCTTACAAACAAACAGATATCCCTCACATACATACATGGTAAGGGAAAAATGTTTAATTTCTTAAAATGGGGTCTACAACTCTCACAGTACCCCAAATTGCATACAGCGCGAATACATTTTTTTTGGTACTACAAATGCTTTCTGGCTATCGGTAGAGTTACCCCATAACAATAACCCGTAGCTTAGAACTGAGGAAACATAACCATGATATGCACATAGAGCTGCCTCTGGCGACACTGTTCTCCGTAATCGTCTTAGAGCATAAACAAATCGGTCTAATTTCTTACAAATTTTAAAAATATGCTCCTTCCAATTGCATTGTTCATCAAGTGTGATACCCAAAAATACTGCAGACTGTACCTTTTCTATCGATTTATTATGAAATTTAATGTTAATGTCTATTTTTTTTTTGATTTGTGTGTCGTAAATTGTATTATTTTTGTTTTGTCAAAATTAATATTAAGGTTATTTAATTCAAGCCATTTAACTACGTCACGAATAGAGTTATTGATTTGATTATTAAAATCATTTATGTCATTAGCCTTGCCTTATTTATGTCAAAAGAATGCATTTTTCTTTCGTAGCTTGAGGTAGGTCATTGATATAAATTAAAAATAAAAGCGGGCCCAAAATACTACCTTGTGGAACACCATATTTAATAATTTTATAATCTGATCTATATGATGATTTTTGTATTTGTTTGTTTTTAGGCACCATCTTACAGATTTCAGTGCATTGCCTTCTGTCTTTCAAATAACTAGCTATCCAATTATTTGCTTCACCACGAATCCCATATTTTTCTAATTTTTGAAGCAAAATGTCATGTTCTATGTGATCAAAGGCCTGAGTCATGTCTAATAGTACTGCTACTACAGGTATCCCTTGAGATATGCTTTCGGTGACAAATTTAATAAGATGAAAGCATACAAGTGTAGTTGAACTTTTCTTTACAAATCCAAACCGCTGCCGATTTAATATATTATGCTTTGTAAAGAATAAGTTTAATCTATTACACATAGCTTTTTCAAATATTTTCGATAACACAGGCACGAGAGTAACTGGTCTATAATTATTTACTGTTGCCTTGTCACCTTTCTTAAAAAGTGATTTTACAATTACTTGTTTTCACTTCGATGGAAAGATGCCTTTACAAAACGATAAATTTATCAAAAAGCTTAAAATTTCAGATATGCTATTTGCACACGCTTTTCATATTTTCGTTAAAATTTCGTCGTATCCGACAGATTTACTATTATTAAGATTCATTATTATTTTACGAACCTCATAACAATCCGTAGGATATAGAAAAATTGTTTTGTCATTCGTTACAATCTGTTTAAGAAGATTATTTTCGCGTTTTGTAATATTACTGAAAAGGAACCCAGAGGAAGGAGCACAACGTTCGGGCTCTGAAACAGAAGGGAGGAATCGAGGCTTCTCTCGATCCGGCCTCCTATAACGCCTACGTTGGGTTCGGGAACAACGTATGTGATCTCCGCAACGGAGTAACACACAAGGGCGATAACCTCTTCCTTTTCAGCAAGTAGGTTCAGACGGGGATTACGGGTCTTCCGAAGTCGTCCCGGTCCCAACGCCTTAATTCTTCGATGTGGACTGTATAACTTGGGGGATGAATTTCTTGGGAATAAAACAGCAATTATCTTCAAACCATTCCGTGAGAGAGTAATCACTTTTCCCTATCACTTCCCTACACTTTTTCTTTCTTCTTCTTATTGACTGCTGGTCTTGCACTTTTCCCGAAGGATTTTCGTACTTCCCCGAAGGATTCCCGAACGAATTGCACGTTGATGTCTTCTTCATGTGTCTTGTTAGGCACATGGAGGTTGCGGGCCTCGGGGGTAAGCCTCCATTACCCGTGCTGTCCTCGTGGTCCACTACTATGGACCGGTCCTGGGAGCCTTCTAATGGCGTTGTAGGTGTCAAAACGATTGTCGCTATCGGTAATTTTTTCGTAGTCGGTTATGACTACGAAAAACGGAGGTTATCTAATGAGGTCGGGGTTGGCCTTTCAGCGGCATTGAGGGTTGTTACTCGACTCTCTAATCGATATAGAGAGGAGTTCTCTTGGATAGGGTCGCCCGTCCGGAGGGCGAGTGTGTAGCGGCGCAAAGTTGTTAAGGTGTATATGCGGCCCGTTGTCTGCACGGTCGAACAGTCCGCGCGCCAACCGGGCCACAAATTCCTGTATGGTGTCGATCTTCAGGTTGGCCGCTATGACGTCATTCCGGACGTAGCGACCCGCACCGACGATGGTTCTTAACGCCATATTTTGCTGGGCCTGCAGTCGCCGCCTCAGAGGCTCGCTCAGAAGCGCGTACCAGGCCGGATCAGCATAGGTGATAATGGCTCTGATGTAGGTTTTATATACTCGCACTTTGGTGTTAAGTGGTAGCTTGGATGCCAGGACCGGACGTAGCATCGCCCGCGCACATCGTGCTCTACGGACGACGAGGTCGACGTGCGCAGTCACGAGCAGCGCCCGGTCGATCCGGCACCCAAGGTAGGTCACGGCCTTCTCGTACGCGATCTGCTGGCCATTGAGGGTTAGTTGAGGTGGTAGGTTCCTGAGGCGGCGAGTGAGCAGAGCGGTCGTCTTACCAACGTTGACGACCATCCTCCACTCATCTAGCCATGGTGGCAACAGGTCCAGGAGGCGTTGCATCCTGGCAGCGGCAATATGGGCACTTCTGGAAGAGGTGAAATAAGCGCTATCGTCCGCATATAACGCCAATTCCACGTCGTCCTCCCATTCTTGCAGCCTGCCTGCCAGGGTAGGGATATCGTTGGTATAAGCCGCGTACAGGACTGGAGACAAACAGCTGCCCTGAGGAACGCCAGCTCTGATGGTTCTGGTTGCGGACTTGGCGCCCTCTACGCAGACGTAGAACTTCCTGTCTGCCAGGAAAGACGCCACTAGCCGCAACATAGCAGGAGGGACACTGGTCTGTTCTTCCAATTTAAAAAGTAATCCAGAATGCCACACCCTGTCGAACGCCTTCTCGATATCGAGAAAGACGCCCAACGTAGTGCGGCCACGGTTGTAATCGGCCGCAAGCAGGTGCAGCACTCTGGTCAGCTGTGTTGCTGTAGAGTGACCCCTCCTGAATCCGTGCTGCTCCGCCCGAAGTTGGATGCACGGGCGGAGGCGTCTTAGCAACAATCTTTCAAGCAGTTTAGCTATGTGTGGTAGCAGCGTGATCGGCCTGTAGCTGGCAGCTCTACGCCTGTCCTTCCCGGGTTTCGGCAAGACGATTACTTTGCCTTTCTTTCAGTCCTCCGGGAAGTGGGATGTCCGCAGGATCCCATTGTAGAGTCGACCAAGCTCTACTAGGACTCTATGGGACAGCTGTCGGAGTGCAGCGTTGGTAATCCCGTCGTGCCCCGGCGCCTTCCTCGGTTGCAGGCGGGTTGCTGTCCACCGCAGTTCAGCGGGGGAGATGAACCACTCTCCTGCAAGAGGCGGCGCGGGCGACGACAGGAACTCCTGTACGCGACTCTCCTTTCGGGCATGAAGCTCCAAGAACTCCGCACTTGCTGGGTTCGGCATAAATTGCTCCTCGAAGTGCTCGACTAGGATATCCGCTCTACCCTTGGCATCGTAACGACGTTCGCTCGCGTTGTTGGTCAGCGGGTAAACGGGAGGTTTGGCTTTAGTTAACTGCCGGTTCAGTTTGTAGAGCGACGTATCGTGCTCTTCCGCTTTCCATGTGCGCCGCTCCCAAGCATCTCCTCTGTGTGCCTGGACTGCAACCGACAGTTCCTCCGACAAGATGTTCAGTCTCATTTTGATTCTCGGGCAGCGAGTACGCGCCCAGAGTCTCCTTAAGGCCCTTTTTCTCTTGATCTGCACGCAGATGTTATGCGGCAGATCATCCCTTCTGGAGGACATCGGGACGATCGTAGAGGCAGCATTGAGGGCCTCCTGTATCGCCTTTGTCATGTTAGTGGCTGCGGCCTCTACGTCGTCCGCTGTGTTTAAGGGGGTGGTGTGCTGGAGGTCTCTCCTGCAGGTGTTTGTGGTAGAGCCTCCAGTCGACACGTGTCTTCACTGTTCTGGGCAGCGTAGTCACCGCCTTTAAGCCAAGGGTAATTAAGATCGGGATGTGCTGCGATTCCAGGTCGTACAGCACCTCTACCACTATCGGGTAGTTGATGTTCCTAGCGAGCACGATGTCCAGTACATCCGGACGACTTCGTGGATCCGTAGGAATGTGTGTAGGTTTTTCAGGACCTAAAACGTCATAGCCGTATCTTTCGGCGTCTTCAAATAGTGCATGACC